TCAAAAATGTTGAAATTTTTTATTTCACAGAATATCTTTCCGCTTTTCAAAAATTCAGTGTTTAAACAATATTTAGATTGATTAGCCAATTAAAAAAAGTTAAAATTGAAATTATTTAAAGAAAAAAAAAATGAACAACGGCGGGATCGAACCCTGGCCGTCGGCGTGGTAGGCAAGCACGTTACCATTAAGACAACGCGCTCATTCTGAAAATATAATTTCATTAGTGGTATATATTCAATACATTGAATAATTTTTTCCATTGAAATTCCACAAGATGTGGTTTCCCCTTTCCGCACGATCAACAGTCGGCTAAATTTCAGTTAAACAAATGAAAAACAAACAGCATTCGTACAGCAGAAAATAAAATTCACCCCGTCGTGTTAATGGACACCCCAGCATTGCGTGGAGCGCCCTCCCTCTCTTGGGGTGCAGTACTACGATGCCGGTGGGGTCACTCAAACCCCCAGAACTGAGCCTCTACTTTAGTCAATCCTCTTTGGTGTGACACAAATAAAAAAAATCAATTTTATTTTACTAAAAGACACGTAATCCTAGTTGTTCAATAATATTAGCATTATATAAAGTATTTTTCACATTGAGGGGAAAAAAATAATTGACTTGAAAAAAACCGTGGGCCTCGTTTTCTGAAGGCGGTTTTCACTGTGCGCTATGGTTTCAGCGATCACACGAATCATTGCGCCGGGAAATATACTTTGAGAGGTCAAAAAAACTATTTTTTTTCGCTTCAATCCAATGCATTATATTATAGATAAAACTAGCGCTGCTACGACCGCTAAACCCTAAAGCGACCGGGATTTTCAAAATTCCCATTTTCAAGTGCATTCGCTCCTGAAATCTTGATTAACTAATTCTTATTGAATTTTGGAGACAGTTCAACAACTTTTATCCGTCCTCTTGCTCTCTCAGTAGGACTCATTTCCTGATTCCATCCGCAGTCACCTGTTAATAACAATAAAATATTCAAGAGCAGTTGTAATGATTAGAGAACTCAGATAATTTATTTATGCAACGGAGAATTTCTTTACCCGGAAAGTTCTCGCTCTCTGTGGAAAAACCGGTGACTTGAGGATTTTCGCTGCGAAGACGATGTCATTCAAACGAGCCAGCAGTAGTCTCCTCTGACACCGATTAGCAACAGTCTGTCCTCCACCACTGACAAATCCGATATTCTTTTTGGCATCAACTTGAGTGACCAACTCATTAACAATCACTATCTGAATTCCAGAGTAATCCTTCGTTGAAAATTTTTATCAAAGAACTTGACAATTTCATTTAATTTACCATTAAAAATAACATTACCGCAATATTGTACTCCGAGGCGAGTTTCTGGAGTTCTTCAAATACTTTGCAGTAGAATTTATACCTAACAAAACTATTCTCTATCGAGCACAACACAGGCAGAGAGAGACTATCAATTATCACAACCCTCAGGAGATTATCACTTTTCAGATATTCCCGAATCCCCTCAATAATCGAAAACAAATCTTGCGCTGTGCGAATAGTGACAACAGTAACACCTCGTAGAAAATTCCTCGTCCCAGCGTCGGGAAAATCCTTGTGATACCCTACAATCAGCTCTAAAGAAGACAATGAAAAATAAGAACATTCTATATCCGCACAATATATATTTTATTCGCTACACAAATACCAAATGAACTCTAGTAATTATTACAAACATCCCTGAAGTCCTGAAGCCGTATTAAGAAGAGCGAAAGAGTTTTTAGGATCATAAAACTCGGAAGTCTTTTCAGAGCCACTCTCAGCAGTCAAGAATTGGTCTTTCACTGTTTCCCTCTTTTTTCTTCTATGAGTCTTATTCCGCCTCCTTTTGGGCCCGTTCATGTGCTGTTTGATATCACCGAGGCAATTCTGAACGATTCGATAGATCGATTGAAAAATCCTGAGGAGCCCTGGAGCGTTGGCTAGCCTCCCCTGGAGGTAGACCAGCGGGTCTTTTCTTTTCGAAAGACTGACAAATAAATTGTACAACAGAGTACCATTAAGCAGCTCCCCAGGACGCGTATGATGATACGGATGTCCGAGAAGAGCATTGAGGTGCATCGAGTGTCTGAGACAACTCTGGAACTGGACGAAGGGGTGGACAACGTCAATGCAAAATTTCCGGGATAAAACCTTGAGTTTCTCGTCCATCTGGAAATAATCGATAAAGAACGCGGCAGCCACGATGCAATCGTCCTTCTCGACAGACTCAATGGCCTCCCCCAAGCAACAATCCTCTGCCAAAATTCTTCTCTGCTTTCTCTCCATCGCAATTCTCTCCATTTCCTTTGAGAATTTCCTTTCAAATGTCTTCTTCGATCTCCTGAACCCGATCTTCTCATCGATAATACTAAACAACATGGAAATAACTAAACAATTGAGGTGAATGTTGTTTTTCTCAGGAGGAACTTCTCGCCTCATCCAAAAGATCATCGTCCCCAGGTACAGCCTCCACTGCTCTGGGCACTCCTCCAACTCCTCCAACTCCTCCCCAGACATTCCCAAAACTTCGTCGATGATTTTTTTTCTTTCACCGGATGGAATCTCCCTCAGATGTTCGAAAGATACTGGAGACCTCGCCACGGTGATAAAACGTCTAGCGAATTGATTTCCTTCTCGGATGACCAACTGAAGAACACTATCCTCGCCCCTGGAGGACGATAGCAAACTAAAGATCCTCGTGATTATGGGGATGCTGATCTCGTGAGAGGAGATTTTACCGAAGTCTTCGATCTGTGGAACGAGAATGTAGAGATTGTGTGTCAGCATGTTGATGAAATACGTGGGGAAATCTCCAGCCAAGTGGCTCTTGATGAACCATTCGGGAACTGACGATGCGAATTTTTCAGCGGTGGAGAATTTCGGTTCATTTTCATTCTCATCGTCAATCTCTTTGTCAACTTCTTCATCAGTCTCTCCAGTTTCCTCGTCGTTGTTCTCGTCGTTGTTCTCGTCGTTGTTCTCGTCGTTGTCGTCGTTCTCCTCGTTGTCCTCTTGGATGGTCCCTTCAGCCTGAATTTTGTCTAACACTTCGTCCAGTTTATCGAGATCCCCTTGGAACTGGAAAGGTGTCATTCTGATTTTCTCGATGGCAGAATTGTCGGTGAGACCGAGGGGCTGCATCATGTACGGCGTCAATATTGAATAACTATTGATGATGAGCTCCATCGCGGTGAGGATGCTCTTCCGCTTGTCGTACCTCACTTTCCTCAAGACAGCAGCAACCGCAGAGTTCAGAGAATAATTCCTCAGCCAATTGAGTGTTGTCCCTATTCTCTTCTGCTGTCCGTTCTGAGTTTTACTCTTCTTGAGTTTCATCCTGCTAAAAAAGTCCTTGAAAATGCTCCTGTTGATGTAGTCATTTCCCAGGAGAATGGATGCAAGGGGGAGAACACTGACATCAAGCCCCCTGAATTTATCCAAGAGCTTCTGCACTCGATAAATCTTACACTTCTTTGCGTATCCTGATTTATTCTTGATGATCGAGGAGCTCAGAGTCGTAAAGGGAATGTACTCGACTCCATAAATGTAGAAATCCGAATCATAACTGAGAATTGGAGCCCCTAGGATCTTTCCAACAGCTGCGATACAGTCGTCAGCCTCGAAAGGACACATTGCAAATTTAATCCCCAAGGTGACGAGGACATCCCTGAAGACATCGGTTTGCATGAGGGGGAAGTACCTCAATCTGCACTGAGTTGTAGGTGTGAATTTCGAGGCGGTGAGGAGCCTGTCGCGTGCTCGTTTGAAAACTGTCTTTTTTTTCTTGTTCTCCCAGCCACCATCCAGGAGGACAATGGGTGTCACCTGGCAGCGTAGAAGGTCCTCAAAAAATTGAGTGATGCTGTAGGAGAAGTGATCATAATCACCACCGAAAGCGCAATTGGCTTTCGATAATTTACAGTAAATCTGAGAGCTCAAGCTCCAGCCGTCTATCACCAAGTAGCAGTTCTGGAGCTCGTGGCATTCTAAAAAATAGTCAGAACGGTTGGCTATGTACGTTGTTAGCCCTCGAATTCCCATTTTCAATCGATGTTATCGATTTTTAAGTTTTTGAAAAATATTTCACCATCGATTTAATGTTTCTATCACTTTTTTACGGTTTCATTACATGAAATTGCATCAATAAAAAATTGAGCCGTTAATTTCACGTGATATATCAATTTAAAGTTAGAGAACGCTTATAATGCTTATTTTGACTATTTTGAATATTGATTCGAATAGAACGAGTTCCATTCCATTTGAGGGTGTTTGAAAAAATGTTTCTCCACGCACATGAATTTTTTAGGTTAACTGTCAAGTTTTTAATTTTAGAAATAGGTTAGAGCCCATTGTTTACAAATTCATCGTGTCCTCGTTGTAGCTGGCCCGCCAGTGGCCACCTGAAAATCATTAAATCACCATTGAAAAATTCATCGAATCCTCGTTAATCTACCACCCCTCACACCACGAATTATTTTAAAGCCCCATCAGGTGTCCCTGAGTTGTCAGTGAGCTTCGAAAATGGAATGGAACTCGTTCTATTCAAACGCCTGCTACGAGTGTGGAAATTGGGGTGACAGTTACCCCCTGACGATGTGCAAAAGCTGTCGAGCAGTGGGTTTTTGTGACAAGGACTTGAAAATTGGTGTAGAAAGGCACAAGGCGCTGTGCGAGGTATTAACGGAGTTGCGGGGCTCATCCCCGTCGGTATTCATAAGCGAGGGAGATTCCCAGGCATCCTGGGCCCTCATGAAGACCAACCTAATGCTGATAATCCAATTAAAACTCGGTAGAAAGCTCAATAAGCAGGAAGAAGAGGTCCTCAAATTCCCGAAGCGCTGTCTCTCCTGTTTCGAGACAGACCCTGAGCGTCTGACAGACTGCAAGGTCTGTCCTGGTACCAGTTTCTGCTCTCGTCACCTACAATCCCAGGAGGAGCATGCAGTGAGATGCAGAAAGTTGACAGAGTGTGCTGCATCTGATGTGTTTTTCGCCCTTCTGCTGAGGAGAGAAATTCCAGGTATTCCTGAGGATCACAGCTCGTCGAAACTCCCTGAGGATATGAACCAATTCCTCAAAAATTGTGGGCCAAACATTGCCCATTTCCCTCACAACGTCCAGAGGTCAGCGAGCTCCGAGGTATTTACCAGACCGCTGAGTCTTTTATACGGAATTGAGAGATTGAGGTACAGTGTTGGGGATGTACTAGTGATCCACGTGGTGGGAGCAAGTGCTATAGATCTGGAGGACCCCAGTGCCTTCGAGATTGTTCGCCATTTCAGGCCGAATATCAAGGAGCTGTTGCTGGTGTTCGTTGGCCCTGACCTCAAGGGCATCGATGTACCCTCAATGACACCTTATTTATGCTCCCAGTGTAAAAAGAGCGACGTCAAACTCGATGTGCACATAATATCAAAGCTTTATCATGAATTCTTTGAGGAGACGGGCTTCCGCATCCCTGATATTGTTGTTGGGTACAATATTGGAATTCATGAGTGCCTGGAGGCCGACTCTGAGAGGGATACCTGGGCTCCAACCGTCAAAACTCTGGGCAAGTTGGGCTCTCCTCTTGTTGTGACCTCGTATACCCTGGAGGAGGCCCAGAGGGACTACGAGAGGATTCTCAAGGGTTCTCGGCATTTTGTGGGTGTTATGATGGAAAAAAATCCGTTTGGGAGCCTCAGGCACTACAGGGACTTTGAGAACGACGAGTTTTACTACCAGAATCAATTTATAATGGCATTTACGGGGAAGGAAATGACGGAATGTATGCGGGGCCTCACACTCAGGGAGGATATGATGTGTGATTGACTCACCCTGGAGACGACGAGGGGAGAAACCACGCCTGCTGTCGATAAAGAGCACTGGGCCGTCTAGACCTCCTTCCATTTGGGGTAGTTGAGTTGTTAAGCATAGCTGGAAGCTGGAATTATGATTTTATGGGCTTTTGTGTGTTGATTAGTTAGATAGGAGTGGCTGCTGGAGATTAAGTAGTGGAGTAAAATGAAAAAATGGTGATTTCATTTTGCTTCTGCTGTGAATTGTCAATCGAATTCATCAGATTTTTTTTTATGAAATTGTTTTATACTTGAAAAGAAGTTGGGGCCAACATTGTCTATTTTTTGCTACTTAAATTCTGATTATTTCTATGAAATAATATTTTTCAAGAATTTCCCTTTGAGGACTGAAAGAGACTAATAGTATTTTGTTACTTTTTTTTTTACAAGAAGCCAATGAAATTTATGTCTGTCAATCGATGTATTTACCTCCTTATTATAAACCTAAGAGATAAATGTTTAATTATTACTAATAACGTAGAAACACTACCAAATCTGTGTCTTTCCTGACCCCGGTGCACCACAAAGCTCTGTAATACTCCCACAGGGAACTCCACCCTCCAAGAGTGAATCCAATGCTTTGCTGAATGTTGTGACCCGGTGACAGAGCAATTCCGCCTAAGAATAATAATAAATCATATAAATAAAAATTGTTCATTGATTATGCTCATTTCAATTGATGCACCTGCCACTGATCGAGTGCTGAGACAGCATGTATAGGTGTCGAAGCCTTAATTAATTCATCGACATCCACGAATCTCCTAGCAGCTTCTGCAACAACAATTATTTCACTGTCAAAACATTCTCTCCACATACATCTAAATAATCCTTAGAACTCCCTCAAAAATACCTGGAGCTTTAAGGACGTCCTCCAAGTAGTTAAATCCATTTTTAGCGAGTAATTCCAACGTATATTGCGATAAAGAAAATGTCCCAAGGGGTCTCAGCATCTTTCAGAAGGAATTAATTCTACAAACAGCTGTAAATGTTAGTCGGCAGGACTCAACAATGGATCAACTCTTCAAACAATATTTCAAACATCAGTTTAGGATTTTCAAAAACATGTGGATGCTGCAGACCAAAGAGGATGGACTAAAGTAGAAGTTCAGTTCTTGGGGTTTGAGTGACCCCAGCGGCATTGTACTACTGCACCCCAAGGGAGGGAGGGCGCCACACGCAATGGGGGTGTCTGCCCCGTCAGCCGACTCGCGTAAAAAAAGACACACGTGCGAAAACACGCGTGTGAAGCGGCTCTCAAAGGCGGTTTAACCTCTTCAAAAAACTTCTGAATCCTCACTTTTCCAAAAAAATCCCCCAAGTAATCAACAATCGTTTATCAAGATGACAGACAATGGTGAGTGACCCTTTAAAAAAAACTCGATGGAACGTCGCGATAAATAATTGAGTATTGATTGACAGTGCCAGACTTGGTGTCAAGTCACGACATGGATTTGGTGTGCAGTGACGGAGAGAGCGGAGAAGACTGGGATGAGATTGATGATGACAGTTGCAGAATCAGCTGTCTATTCTGCGAGAAAGAGTTTCGAGGATATTGCGAGGGGCTCAAGCACATGAGCATTTTCCATGGGCTGGATCTCGGAAAATTCGTGAGAGATCGTCAATTAGACGATTACACGTACAGAAAATTCGTGAATTATGTGAGGAAGCACAGGTCATCCCCTGAGGAACTCGCTGCAGGTGGAAAACCCTGGGATGCTGATGAATACCTCATGCCAGTCCTTCAGGACGATCCCTGGCTCATGCTGGATATTGAAGAGTTAGATCAGGGATCTCCAGAAGATACAAAAGTCACATCGTTCCCAGTTAATTGTGAGAATGGATGTGTTACATTGTCTGAGACGCATTTTGCCGAGCTACAGAGGACTATTCAGTCGTTGAAGGCACAGCTGGAGCAGAGGGAGACAGCTTGTTACCTGGCAAAACAGCAGATCGACGAGATGCAGAGAAAAGTGCAGCGGATAGTGTTTGATGAGGAGACAGAGAAGCCATCGAAGAGGTGTGTTAAGAACGTGGGTGCCGTCGACGACGAAGGGTACTTCAACACCTACAGTCACTTTGCTATTCATCATGAGATGTTGACTGATACCGTAAGGACTGAGAGCTATAGAGACGCTCTCCTAACCAACTCCCACGTCTTCAGGGAATGCACGATGCTGGACGTGGGCTGTGGCACAGGGATACTCTCGATGTTTGCAGCAAAGTCTGGTTGTAAGAAAGTCCTCAGTGTCGACCAGTCTGACGTTATTTATCACGCAATGGATATCGTGAGGGAGAACAATCTAAATGATGTGATTGAATTGAAGAAAGGAAGACTCGAAGACATCGACCTGGGGGTTGAGAAGGTTGATGCAATTGTGTCCGAATGGATGGGATATTTTCTTCTGTTTGAGGGCATGCTAGATACTGTCATCTACGCCAGGGACCACTATCTTAAACCTGGAGGTAAATTACTACCCAATCGGTGCACATTAACTCTAGTGGGCAGTGGGGATACCAAAAGGTACGTCGATCTCGTCGACTATTGGTCCAACGTTTATGGCTTTAAGATGAGTTGTATGAAGGAAAAGGTCGTCAAGGAACCTAGCATCGAGGTCTGCAGTGCCAAGGACATTGTCACTAGTGTCTCTATTATCAGAAATTTTGATTTATTCACTGTTGACACCTCGTGCATGGACTTTACAACTGAGTTTGAGCTGATTGTTAAGAAAACTGGCTCGCTCACTGCTATCGTTGGCTATTTCGATGTATTTTTCGATCTTGATAATCCCGTTTCGTTCAGCACTGGGCCGCAGACACAAGCCACTCACTGGAAACAAACTGTTTTTTCACTTAGTGAGCCTATTAGTATTACAGAAGGTAAATTATTCTATTTTTTTTTCTTTTTTTTTTTTTTGAAAGATAAGTAGTCAGAACTTGATAATTGAATTCAAATGGATTGTTTCAGGGGAAACAATAACGGGGAAAATAATCTGCGGACGACATCCCAAGGATATCCGGGCCTTAATCGTCACCCTCCACGTTCGAGATTTTCGACAAGTATATTATCTCGACTAGACCAACTGCCAAAACTACAAACTCATTTAATGAAATGAATTTTTCCAATTTTCAATCTAGCTACAACGAAAAAAAAAAACGTTACTTTCTCTCATTCATCAAAATTTAAATTAGTCTTGTTCGCTAGAGACTTTTCTCCATTTGACAATTGTCGTTTGACTCAATTGATGAATTTTCTGAAGTTTTTTCGGAAGTTTTTGGAGATTGAGATTAGAGCTTTAACTCGAATAGTCGGGTATATTAAGAGTTGATCAATTTCCCCGAGTTTTTGAATAATCATTGATGATTCATGTGCCTTTTAGCAGTTGGAAAACAAATTCTACCAATTACCAGGAATTGCAATTTTCTTGCATACAATATTGATGATAATCATCGTTTTAAATCAATAGTCAAGTGGTAAAGTGAAATTAGTGGAATTTGTGAAATTTCACTGAGATTTTATTTTACTTTATTTCACTTTACAATTTCACTGCTGAAATCCTAGTACATAAAATGCATGCCGCACAATCTTATTGGATAGGGAATGAATTCAAAGCGACCATTTATTTTTTTCTGGAAATGGTACATTATTTTCGTTAAAATGTATAGATTCGATGCCATCGATAATTGAACGAGGCAAAAGGTGATTTCTTTATTTTATATGAATGCATTTATTAAGTTTGGATCATTCTTCAGCTTTTATAGAGTGGTAAAGTATGCATACGAAATAATAGGATTAGTGGTCTCAAATTAAAATAAAAATTCCATTCTTCCGACCAAATAAATTAATTGAATAATGATAATCCGCTAGATTCCAGACTTTTGAAACATCAAGTTCGCCAAATGGTTTGAAATAAATAATAAACATTGAGCTTCTTAACTGTAATGCATTGCCGCACGAATACAATAGTCAATAATGTTAAGGTTTTTAGCGAATACGCTGTACTACCTCCTGTGATATTATAGATGTCGCGAAATTGACAATGAACATTGCCACAATGATAAAGTGTTACAAGTAGAGAGATTGTAAACAGTGAGAGAGCGATTGCACATTTCCTCCCATTCACGACTTCCTGTAATCAATTTTCGAGAAATAATGTAGATTTTATTCGAATAAAATTTCTTTTACAAGTTGATGAAATATTTCACGGGATGACTGACATTAAGGTACCTGAGTTTTTTTTTATATCGCTTGAGGATTTTCTTTTATGATGATTGACGGAGGAAATTCGGATTGTCGGTTTGCCATCCTTTTGCGTTGGGACCAAATTTGTACACTAATTTTTCATTCTTGACTGATTGAAAGATTTGATTGTCGTAGTGATATCTGTAAAAAAAAATTTGGAGAACTCAGAGTTCCTGAACTTCAAATTTATCCCCTTCTATTCATTTTTTTTTAACAATGGAAATAGAAAAATATGTACCTCATGGCTCGACTGAATTTTTCATAAGTCATTGTAGTATTTCCATTCCTCGCGCCCCACCGTCTAGCCACTTCTTCACTCCTGACGAATTTAAACTTCGCCTGGGAATAATCCTCCCAGCGAATAAGGTTAGGACATGTTTCTGGATTCTGCAGGAGGTCCCTAATGTACTCCCACAATTTTCCCAAATTTTGAGCTGCCAACATTTTATTTACGTCTCATTGCACGCGTTAAAAGAAAAAATTCATCCAAAAATTATGTAATTTTGCTCACGTGTTACTTCCCCAGTATTTATTCAAACGATAGAAACGTAAAACGACTTAAAGTTTTTCATGAATAGAAAAAGAATGTTCAATGACAATTACCCAATTAAAGACTTACGGGAATTTTTCTGTTTGAAACCTTTGGGCCGACCTGGAGTCCGTCCTTTAGATGGAATGTCTAGATTGTCTTCAGATTCAGTAGTTTCTGTTAACGTAATAAAATATATGTGACATGTTCCGCCAATTGTCAAATTACGTACCAGAAAAACATGTAGAGCCGCCCGAGGATCTGCAATCATCTCGAGATATTCTGTCAATCGATGAAAAGTTCGGTACTGGAAAATGAAATTATTGATGTAGGCACTGGTAATTCCTGCCCGGGCTAAATAAAATTCATTTAAAAAAATTTATCTTAAAAACAAATAATAAATAATTTTTAATACATTGCGTGTACGTTACGAAAAAATAAAGCAGTGGCTAATATAATATATTCATCGACGAGGGCTATCGAGAGTAGAAATTAGCACTTACAAACGTTTTGCATTCTCTGTGAGTGCAAAAGTTTGTAGAGTTTCGCTCCATAATCGTGATCACGAAGAACGAACTCCTTCTTCTTGAGTTTAACAAGGTCCCTGCCAGGAATAGCCAAGCTCTGTTGAATGGAGCAATAGGGCTGTCCCATATGCGAAGCAGCGGACAATAACCAGTTTATGGTATCTCCCTTGCTCCATTCGTCGATCCTCTTGGTGGTCCAGGCATGACCATCAGTCTCCTCAGCATCATCCCCTGGACAAATCGATTATGAATTTGTAACAGCGAGAAGTGCAGTTCCTCCTTAATTCCATAATTCCATTTCTCCAATAAAAGCATTACCTAGGAAGCACTTTTTTCCACCTGAACTCTCGTTCTTATGAGAAATTTCCTGGCTGCTCGTCATTTCCATATCAAGGATCGTGTTGTACAAGTCATCGTCATGGAGTAACATCGGATAGAATGGCTGTAATAATTTTTTCGTCGTATGAGGAAAATTCTTTGATTGCGTCTTGATGAATGGAATGTCTACGCCATTCATGGAATTCACTACTCGCGGTTTCTTGAGGAAAAAATTGAAGGATATAAAATTGACGATTATTGCTGTAGAATTCACAGGGGAAAAAAATTGATATGCATTTATATGAGAATTATTGAAATGAAAATTTATTAAAGTTTCCATGTCCCAAATTCAATAGAATCGCAAGAATTTCCAGAGCTCTAATCGGAATTTGGCAAAAAAACTTGCCGTTTTTGTAACTTCCAGATTTTGAAATTGCATTATCCACATACTTGTTAAGTAGAGGATAAAAACTCCATGGAGTTATTTGCTCATTAATAATACAAGTAGTAAATGAATAAACAACCGATGAAGCGATTTTACTCGGATCTACGCATAATCTCAACTCCACAACCACTGAAAGATCACTCGAATCTAACGGGATTTCTGTCAACGAGGAAAGATCTGATAATCACTGACCTAGCGAAATAAGACTCGTTAAAAATCACCACATCATAAACAAGGAAAAACTTGCCTCCATGGTATCGCTGAAGAGACAATTATCGATGGAGCTCATTGCATCTATCGTTGTATCGTAAAACATGATGATTGTATCGTCAGAAAAAACTGAGCAGAGTCTCAGAGTGGGATGTTGATGATTTGGAAAAATAAAAAAATGCTAATGCAACCGCCAAGAGTGTAGGAGGGAATGATCACTTTACACTCAACGAGGAAAAAGTAATCGAGACCGCGAGGCGCATGATGATTTAAAGGCGGATTAAACCCCCTCTGAATCATCTCAATTACGCTGAAGACTACCCCCACGTCACTAGCTACCGATTCGTGGAGGAACGTGTGAGGGGCTTTAACAGGCGAATCAGGGGTTCCCAAATACTCTCGCAGGAGGGATTTCCCTGGCAATTCATTATTATCGATGCCAAAGAGTGAGACTCAATCCTTTGTCGATCATCGTTATGATATGCTCACCTCATGACTCAGTCCACTCACTGCAGAGAAATTCACATCAACATTCTGATCTCAAGCCCGATGTGAACTTACCTCGTCTTTAGCAATATCGGAAAATTGCACTTTTCCTCCTTTTCTTATTTTTCAATTACCCTTGTTATTTCATTGTTGGAGGAAAAATTGAAAATCAAATGGTCTATTTATTTTTCAATGTCAATATACACTTTGTGAATGATTTATATTTTATATGAATTATTTGGAATACGGTGTTTTGTCTAATCGGTATTCAGCTTCACAAGTGCATGAATTGTGGCCTGAATTTAGTGAATTCGAGGGGAATACCACAACAAATAAACAATCAAACAGGAAATTATTTTCAAAATTAAAATTCTGTAGAAATATACAAAGTAAAAAAGACCATTTCTTCATGGAAACGAACTTCTGAATTTCCATGTGTCAATACTATAGATGAGAGACTCATCTGAAATGGTGTCACGATATCGATCGACAATACGTGTATTCTTTCGATTCTTCATCAAAAAATTAATCTGTATTTTCCTGAGGAAAAATTCTTAAGTCACGAATCACATTTTTTTTTTATATCTTCGTCATCATTTCTTCTGGAGAATTCATCGACGAAAGTTGGGATTGTCCGTCTCCCATCCCTTGGCGTTAGGCCCAAATTGGTAGACTAGTCGGCGACCCAGCACTGGCAGGAAGATTTTGCTCTTGTAATAATACCTGATAAAAAAAAAGCAAAAAACACATATAATCAACTATTTTTTCTATTAAAATTTATAATGAACGTCAGAAAAAAAACGTAAATAATTTATCAAATCGGTTCACACATGAAAGAACAAGAGAAGTTTGTCATCTACTCATAATTGGCTCGTTATCAAAATAATTCCAATATTGACAAGACGAGATAACTCGATTTACGATGTTTCTCACTGGGCGACAAAATAAAGGTATTATGACGTGGATATAATCACCTCATGGCCCTGCTTAATTTCTCATAAGTCATCTTGGTATTTCCCTTTCTGGCGCCCCAGCGTTTCGCCACTTCATCACTCCTGACGAACCTGAATTTAGCCTGAGAATAGTCCTCCCAGCAAATGAGGCTCGGACAGGTTTCAGGATTTCTGAGAAGATCCCTAATATATTCCCACAGTTTGCCTTGACTCGTTGCTGCAGAGATACATTATAAGCAATAGAGCAAATCGAGCAAATAGAGCAAATAGAGCAAATACAGCCGGAAATTATCATACGATATTGACGAAATGATGAAATCAAGGAAAACTCACAATTCTTTTTCTGTTTGAACCCCTTGGGTCGACCTGGACCCGGCCTTTTCGGTGACACCTCCACACTGTCTTCCGATTCTGCATCTATAAATATTGCAAAACAACTGTTCTTGTCAAAGCATAATTAATTAATTCAACGTTAATTCAACATCGTCGCATTCAGCATCGTCTGTATTTCAATGTTCTTTCGTAATTAAACTTTTATCATCATTTTGGTTTTACGTACCGGAAACAGTCGATGATCCCGTGTGTGTGCGCTCGTCCTCGGACGTCTGGTGAATTGATGGAAAATGTGGCGCTGAAATAATTAAATTATTAAATGGTCGACTTTTTAAATTCCTCAGATTTTAACGAATATCTTGGAATCCAAGCGAGATGGAAATTTTTTTAAAATAGCCCCCTTCATAGCTCTCACTCTCTTCTATAAAAAGGAATATTTTCAAAATTATGCTATTTCGTTCAGCTTTGGAGATATATACATGCATAGATTATTATTAATTATTTTAATTATTCCGTGGATTATTCCATGGCACTTACAAAAGTTGGAGACTCTCTGGGAGTGCAAAAGCTCATAGAGCTTGTCTCCATAAGCTCGATCATGAAATATAAAATCCTGCTTTGTCAGAGTGATAAGATCTCTTCCTGGAATGGCTAGAGTGTGTTGAATAGAGCAATAGGCCTGTCCCATATGCGAAGCCGCGGACATGAGCCAGTTTATTGTATCACCCTGGCTCCACTCTTTAATCGGTTTAGTGGACCAAGCATTTCCATCAGCTTCATCAAACTCTTCCCCTAAAATCATATAATCATAATTATGATTTCGCAACGAGCAATCCAGATAAACCCATTCCTTTTCCCTCTCTATTTATAGACTTTCCTCAACCAATTTTTATTACCTAGAAAGAACTTTTTTTTTGCGGTCTCGCATCCTCTCTTGTTGTAAGGAAACTCCTTATTCTCCGTTGTATCCATATCCAGTATCGTCGGATATGGATCATCATTGTCCAGCGGTGACATTTGAAAAAATCCCTGCGAGCAATTTTTCATTATAAGGAAAATGGAGATCAAGTCACACTCAATGGAATTGACGTTTCATTCAGTGAATTTACTATATGCGCTCTATCCTCCAGGAAAAACCGGTAGAGCTTAATGATGCAAATTGTAATTACATGACGCTCGATAAGAAACTAATTGCATATCCAACCTGCCGAGACAAAAACATACAATTGATCCAACGAGAATCGACAACAATTACCACTGCAGCTCGACGATCTATCGATCATCGAAATAATTAACAGCTCGATTGTCCTTGGATCAACTCCATTATCTCCAACGATCCTCGCATTACCGTGAAAATTTACAGAACCTGATTATAAGTTATAAAACAACTTGTCTCCGATTGAGAAGAAAAATCCTCCAACGACTGGAATGATTAACGATCAATAATTATTGACAAAATACCGCTAAAAATATCGAAGAGTATAATTCCTCACGCGTGATATCCACGCAAGCCCCCGGATTTTCCGAAAGTCCATGAATTTCAAAACTTGGCATTGAACAAGTCTAAAAAAAAATCGACACATTGTAAATAAGGAAAAACTTGCCTGGATTGGATCGCTCCGATGATAATCAACGATGGAAGTCATGTCGTCGTTCACTCCGTCGCAAAACATTCGCGCAATGTTCATGAAAAAAAAAAAGGAGAGAACCCGAAAATAATTGGCAAAGAGGATAATCGGAGGAGGGTGGGAAGCTCTAAAATTCAAATAGCAATAATGAACACTTTGGAAATTTGCGGATTGAAAAAAAAAAACAATGGGAGAGACTGCGAAGCGCGTGACGGTTCAAACGCGGATGAGACCGCGTCTGAATGATTGCGATCACGTTGAGGCCAGTCTCTACGTCACTGGTAACACATACTTGGAATAAACCAACCTATGTGGATATCGAAGCTAAAGTGGGTGTCAACGCAGACATATGAGCCCGAGGGATTTCCCCGCAATTCCTCGTTACCAATCCCCACGCAGGCCAATATGTACATGAAATGGTGACGCAATCGTCATCAAATACCACGTGATGCGCCATATCACTGGAGATAAATTTTGCGAGAAATTAATTTATCATGATTCTGAACATTCGTATCCCAGAGATAAGCGTTTCTCCTGGGTGAATGTCTCAGGGTCAAGGGATTCCACTGCATATATCATGCATCTTGGTCTCCTCGTGGATCGCATATGCGCATTATCCGCAACTTCATCCGAGATGAACAAATTTACCAACAAATTTACCAACAAATTTACCAATAAAATAATTCCATTAGTCTGGAATTACAATTGATTTTCATTCAGTTAATTGCTTAATTCACTTTTCACACCATCCAGATCGCTCTATTATGCAGAAAAATTCAATGTTTCCAAAACATGAGATTACCGATTTACATATGTTACTCATTTCTCGTTAATGAATCCCAAGTATTCCCTAATTACAAGACGAGTAAATATGCCTTATTATTATAATCTAGTTTAAAATTTTTCGACGTGAAAAAGACGTGAGTTATCATATCTCGCCGTGAAATTTCCATTGACTACTAAATGGAATTTGTAGATTTTTCCATGCGTTTCAATGATTTTTATTGATTTTAATGTAGAAATTAATGTTTAGCCAGGGCCATAGCTGATTTTCCTTTGCCCACTTTTAATAGTACGATAGCCCTTGATATTCGTTGCGATAAGAGATCTGTTATTCAAGTGGACAAGCTTTATTTATTGAACTCGTTCAATCACTTGTTTTTCCCATCGTGTTATGACTGTCTCACCTGCAGCGCAATTCTCAGGCTCTCAAGTTGTCCGCAGGACAAGAAATAACCATCGAGATTGCGGATAATTTGTGAGTCGAGATAAATACCGGGACTAATTGCCAACGAGGAAAATTGCACCTGATAATGCGATGCTCGTGTGTGTGTCAGTTATGACAACCCCGAAGCAGTATGTTCACTCGGTGTCGCCTTTTCAATCGGTTGGTTTAATGCGTGCGTGATGAATCATTTTAGCAGAGCCAGTGCATTTCGCTATTCCCCCCCCCCTCCCCCCCTCCTGTTCCTATTTTTTTTTCTTTCTTTTTCCTGGAAGCTTGAGGTCCTGCGGGTACGGACGTCCCCATCGCTTTATCGGTGACGGTTTTCGGTTTTGGATTTTTCGAGCGAAATTATTCTTCACAATTTGCGGAGCCCGGGGCTCAAGTCGTCGTCGATGGGACCTGAGCTGCGGTTTTTTTTTTTTTTTTTTTTTATCACTCGGTGAATAAAGATAATCGGACTGACTGGTTGATGGTCATAATTACACTTTATTACATGAGATATATTACAATGGGTTGTCACAATCGAGTTTTATATAAAATTGAAAAACGTCGCTCAAGGATAAGACTTGATGACTCTGTTTGCTTGGATTTCCTCGCAAAAATGAAACATTTCGGTGGGGTTTTGGCATGGGGCTCACGTCTCCTGATCGTCTGAGGCTATTTGCGAGGCCAAGTTGGCGAATTTCGCCATGTAATCGACACTGCTCTCACCCATCAGACATTGCATTTGACTGACAACCTGGAATTATCGATAAAGCAAACATTTGTGAACTTGAACGAGGTCTTCCATACGGATATGTACTGTATTTCTGTCGCCACGCTAAATTATCCAAACTGAAATTCTTTTGAAAAATTCGAAAACTATTCTCACTCCACAATAAATAGATAAATTGATAAATATCCTATGATTTATCAAATAAATAAATAATCGGTGGAGCGCCTACCGTGTAAGGGTTTGACAATCCCAATTTTGAAAAAAAAAAAATAGCATGACTCATATGCATAAATTGTGCTATCTATCATCGTTTCGTAGTTTTAAAATTGCAGATAACATGTATGCTAAGTTACCAACGTGGCAAGCGCAAAGCACTGTGCAAATTTATTTCGCTTCGATTTTCAGTTCAACACTAATGCTATTCAGAATATTCATAATTTTGTTTGTTACTCATTCGCCATACAAATTATTCAAAATTCGCATACCATCACTATCAACGTTGTGATTTATTGGTGAATACGTCTAAAAGTAGATAAAAAAAATGGCATAAAGTGGTTTAACAGAAAGAACATTAGTTTTTCTTCAATGAAATGCAATGCTTATTTCAATAAGAATTAATTTTCCAATAAAAAAAAAATTGCCTTTGCCTTCCGTCCACAAAATGAATTTTAAATCACAAACTGGCTTTAGATGAAACCATAAAAAATTCCGTTGAATTTTTACTCAAGAAAACGAACAATATACGTAAACATGAAAACCTCGTGTTTTTTGCAATCGAATGAGATAATATTTATGTTCCTCAATACCAACAAAAACGACAGATTCGTAAACACGAAGGCGATTGCAAAATGTTGTGAAATGCTAAGTATATCCCCAGGGTACAACTTCAAAAACATCATACTCTCATATAAAATAAATCCATCTTCCAACAAAAAAATTCAACTTACATCAGACGAAGGACGTCCATCCCCAAGACCCATGCTAGCCTGGCTCCTCTGAGATCCTTTGACAGGTGATTCGAATTGCCCCAAAAAGCTGCTTAACGAGTAATCAGCGACCTCACTATTCAGCCACTGTCCCTCGCCCTCTTTGAGGATCTGTGTGGCACTAGTGATGATGGAGTTTGCTTTGGAAGTTTCTCCAAGTGCAGATAGGAATTGTTCAGCCTGTTGAGAGACCTCAGGGACATTGCCCTCCCCATCGATCTCCATCACCTCCTCTTCGTGCCTGACAACAACAGGAAGAGTCCTCTGGACAATCAGACTCCTCTGTCTGACAGTCCTCCCTCGTTTGCTGAACCGGCTCGTGAATTTATCCAATTGCGTCTTAAAGGCATCATGACTTCCAATCCGATGATAGGGCTGAGGGATGAGAGGTCGTCTGAAGGTTGAATCCTTGGCAGATGGCATTCTCGAGGATATCACAGTCTCATTGCTTCCAGCATTCTCATAGACCTTACTGGTGCCATAATTGTGTTTAGCAATAGACAAAAGCTTCCTCAGGGCGAGGGAGAGTCCATCGTCTTGCTTGGCTCGGTCTCTGGCGCCCTCTGAGGACCCAGGGCAGTCCCACCAGTACTCCAGAGTGATCTTGCTGTCCCTCCCAAACATCAAGAACAAATCCCCAACAGTAATGCTATTCGCTTCATCAATAGTCCATCCCTCTCGAATCCTCTCCACAGTCTCCCGCCCTGGAAACCTGTTGGGCTCTGTCGCCTCACCATAATTTCTGACAACATGAGATGCGAAGAGGCTCTTCTCCTGATGTACATTGCTTTCAATTCCATCAAGATCACTATTGTTATCAACTGAGGACATTGGGTCCTCCGTTCTGGAGAGTCTTTTGTCCTTTTTCTTCAGGGACTTTTTGCCGACACCTTTGAGATGCTGTACCGATCCGAGAAGCTCTAATCTCGAGGATTTAAGCCCCAGACGTCCCTCATAAGAGTTGAAGCTGACAGAATTGCTGGTGAGGTACTCTCCCAGGTTCACCATTGGCAGAGTGATTTTAGTGCTCTCCTGAGGAGCAACCCTCAGTAGTTTTGGCTCCCTCGAGTCCACGACCTCGTTCTCTAGGCTCGGGGATACTATGTACTTGGCTGGCCTCCAGCGTTGCTGGAGAAAACCCAGGAGAGTTGACAATCTTCGTTGAATTGGCAATAGTGTTCTCACTCGAGGATTCATGGCGTGTGCCTGTACCTCCCACCAAGTAGAGTTATTTCCAGGACGAAGCTCCACAGTTACTCTGGATGGCAGCTTTATCTCTTCCTGCCAATCCTCCAGTTGATTGAGTTTTCTCAGGGCCCTGCAGATAGGGGTCTTGATTCTCATCGTTTTTCCTCGGAGGCGAACCTGTGTCGAGCCCCAGAATATCAACTCGTTGAGTTTCAGCAGAACCTTTTCGTGAATTCGTGGCAATTTCCTCCGGAGTTCACCGTAATTTATCAGGCCATATATCTCTTGTGATGCTTTCTTCACCTCTTCAGAGAACTTGAGGTGCTTCGAGATTTTCAACCAGGTGCGGTAATAAAAGTGGCGAATTTGCTCCTTGTTCTTCGTCATCGTTTCTGGGAGGCCTTTCTTTTTACCCTGAGCGAGAAAATACGTCTGGAGGGCGTCGAAGTCCTTGCCAAATTCGTTTACTGCCTTGAAGAAGGTGTTCTTGTCTTCTAGGGACCATAACTCGCAGGAGCGTTTTAAGGAACGCACAATTTTCGCGTCTCCGTCCTCCTCTTTGATTTCTGAAAATAAATATCGTAGATCTTTGAGTTTAATTAAGCCTTTAACAATGATCATCAGATAAAGATAATTAAGTAATTAATTAATTAATTAATTAATTGTTCTCATTCAACATTAATGAACGAACCCTGAAAATCATTGATTTTTGAAATGAATGAATATTGAGATAATTTTTTTACTCCAACTTTGGGGTTAATTATATTCATGAATTGTTGTAACCTTTTTTCTCAGTAGGTTGGGTAGAGTCTGTGGAGTCGATCCTCATTTTCTTCGTCCCCCTGACGATTTTCGTTTGATTCTTAGAATCCGTTGGTTTTTCGCTTGACGATGGGAGTTCCTCCTTCTTCAAGGATATAGATACCTGATTGTCATCCTCTTTTTGAGTCTCCATCATTCTACTTGATCACAGCTCAGTAAAATAAATTACCGGCACATCCTCCACAATTGTTGAGCTCATGACCCAGCAGTGGAAATTTCTCCACGAGGATCACCACAATTGATAGAATCTATTTAATTCGTGTGGCTGTTGACAGCATCCAACATGTAAACAACTCTGGTGAGTGCCAGACAAGAGGAAAACACGGGGGAGAGATTGTCATTGGGCAACGGATGATCCACGTGACCCACCACCACGTAAATATGGAGTCTACAGGTTTTTGTAATGAAAATCACTATTTACCGGCTTCCCGCCTCCACATACCGTAAATTTTATGTGATTTCATCATGAAAAACTGGTGGACATCACCAGAAATTATCAATTCAATGGTCCCTGCATTCAATTCCTCGATGGTGACAATTACTTAGTCATTTATTCAGCCCTCAGGATTTTTTAGAGAAATCAGACGAAATTTATTTTCTTTTTCCTTTAATCATCTAGAGATTAATCCCATTATGTGATGATGAATCACTCCACCAACATTACCATTTCCCATGTAAACAAGCAATTATTGTTGCAATATTATTCGTAATTGGAGCTATTAACACTCTCGGTGCCATCTGCCACTACTCACTTAATTCCAATTATTTCTATTATTAAATCGCGATAATTACTGCGTGATTTGACCTGACTTCGGGATGCTCTTGGATACAAGGTCATGCTTATGAGAAATTTTGGTAGTGACAGGTAAGTAGGATTCATTTTCCTGTACTTTGTTGACTTGGAAATTTGAATGTGCCAAACGGAAATTGCCATTTTTTCCTTTCGGCGTGTCATAACCTTCTTCTTGTCTAACATTGATTAAAACGATAAATGAAGGATTTTTCATTGGATAATTGATTCCATTGGAATAAGTGATGAAAATTTTGGAGAGAAATTGGTCAATTGAAATGGGGGGGGCATAGGAATGAATTGTCGAATTTCGGTTTAGGAGAAGTGAGCGGTGGAAAAAATTGAAAAGCGGAAGACAGTATCGCTCCCATAAAATCCAAAATGGCGATGATATTTGAGAAGCCAAGTACGAAGTGTGCCACCTCGACTGGTCCAACATAATCCGTGATAATTTTTTGTAATGTCTTTTTTCCCCTTTTCTGATCGGCTCGCTCGTGTTGGTAGTGTCGGTGGCCTTGATAGAAACATCTGATTCCCCTCATTCGTCGTGCCCAAAGCCAAGTGTACTTAATTAAAAAAGACGATTAATAACTCAACAAATGCGCTGAAACAATTTGCAATAAGCTTCAGCATAAAAAAAAAAGCCGCGACTGAGCCAAAAACTGAAACAACCGGAATTATTCCACGAAAAAAATCTCCAAAACAGTGAATTCAGCAGGAACAAAACAAGAGGTTCTTGATGGGGCAATCAGGAAAATCATACGACGAGGAAGAAGAGCCCACACGGTTCACATCTCCAGAGTAAATTATCCCAGAATTCATTAAACTTCACTCCAAAGTGTTTTCCCGAACAAATGAACCATTAATGCGCTCTGCGGTGTTGTCCTTGAGGTGTGGAAATTGTCAAGTGTGTAGTGGCCCTCGTGATAATTGTCACAACACTTGGTCTTCCAAAAATTCAATTGCCAATTAGTCGAGGATAATTAATCGATAATCAGTTGAGGTTAACTTGAGAGATGCGATCAGTGGCGAATGTTGAATTAATCCTGATCTATGGTCTTCGACTGTTGTGTCTGTGTTTTGCCGAGGTTGTTGCTAGTGGTGGTGCACTTGATGCCAGCACTGGTTATCAGCCAAGATCGAGTGATGGATCAAAGGGTTCAACGAAATTTTCAACGACACTCACTGGTGGAATTGCCCAGGCAGTGGCACATGACAGTGCCCAGTCCAGCAAGCAGCAGATCTTGGGTACTTATCTCCTATCTTGATTGCAGTTGACAATTGCTGGCAGATCATTATCTTTTCTAATGACTTTTACAGGTGTTGAGACATGCAATGATGATTTAGCATGCATAACTATGGCCTCACACGATCGACTCGGTCTTGAGGCGATTAAATCCCTACACAGTCAACTGGACGATGATGCTGATGGCGACGTTGATCTCTCAGAGTCTGATGATGTACAGTAATCTCAGTATTTCTCAGTATTTCCTTTGAATTATTCCTACTTAATGTCTACTCAATGTTCGGGGGTGACGGCTCTCTGGGGGACATGACAATTTTTTATACTTTACATTCATTGGTTTCAGTTCTTGAGGGAAGAACTCCAGTACGAGGCCGGTTACGAAAGACGACAACGTGCCTTCCATCACAATGATGATATGCATATTAGTGTTAGAGAGCTATGGGAGGCCTGGCTGAGATCTGAGGTACACAATTGGACCATCGAGCAGACCTCAGAATGGCTTACTTCTAATGTCGAGCTTCCACAATATGTTCCTAATTTTATACAACATCGTGTCACTGGTGCTACTCTTCCTAGGTAAGTTTGTCAGCACTGTTAATTTTTATGACATTGGGGGTATCCAATTACATTGAAAAAATAAATAAAATTCTGCAATTCAGCTGCGTTTCAATTTAATTTGTAGATCATTCTAGTGGAAAATTTCAGATGATTTTTTTTCAGAATTTCAGAAATTTGGCCAAAATATGTGGATATCCCCAATTCATAATTATCATGAACTTTAATAATCAATTTTTTCGTTTTGTTTTAATGTAGATTGGCTGTGAATAATATGCACTATCTTAGTAATGTTCTTGGGATTAAAGATCCAATTCACAAACAGAAAATTGCCTTGAAAGCGATGGATGTAGTGTTATTCGGACCACCAAAGGGTAATTCCACAATTTATTACCACAAACTGATCCAAGATTATGGCAATAAAAGGATGAAATATATTAATTGGTTTCTAGATTCTGGGCACAGCATTAAGGATTTGATACTCATAACTTTATTATTCGGAGCCTTGATTGGCTGTTGGTACGCATATCAGCAGAAGAAAAGTTCTCAGAAACATCTTAGGAGGATGATGAAGGACATGGAGGGCCTCCATAAAGCCGAACTGGCGCTGGAGGACCTGCAGGTGTGCTTTCTTTTTTATCATTATTTATCATCCTTTAGAAAAAAAAAAAAAAAAAGAATCGACTGGAAAATGCGGTGGGCGATGCATTCACATGAAAACGTTCATGACGGCGGGGTACGGATATTTGAGTCGATTTGGCTTCATCATTCATCATTCGTATTCTAAATTAATATGATTTTTCCGAGGAATACTTTTTAGGAGAAGTTGGAGAAAACAAAACGATTATTGATTTCTGTCCCAATTACAGAAAGAACTCGAAAGGGCGAGGTTGGAACAAGCCAGTGCAGCAACAGAGAAACAAAAGCTAGAGGCAAAGCTCCAGGGGGAGAGTATGGGAATGCACACGTCATATTCTGATCTGGAAGTGTCTCAATTAAAGCAAGAGATCGAAGTAATTTTTTTCTCCACCTTTAAGCATCTCATTTCCAAATTTTTCCACATCTTTACTCCAATTTATATGCTTCTCAATTTTATGTAGATGTTGAAATTGGAACTTCAACGTGCAGAGGGAGAACTAGAGGATCGCTGTTGGTCACCTCCAGTTGGCCTGCAGCACTGGCTTCAACTGACACACGAGATTGAGAATAAAGGGTATATAAAGAAGAAAATAGCAGCTGAGAAGCAGCTGCAACAGGCTCGCGAAGCGGTATTATTTCTGGATTGACGGTTTTTAGTTTTGGATGTCTATGAGGAAGAGTTCTATATATTAATTTTTTTCCACAGTGCGAGAAGTTACGGAAGAAGAGATCTAGCCTCGTGGGGGCATTCGTCTCGACACATGGCAAGTCTATTGACGAGGTTGACAAGAGTATTGTCGAGGCGAGAACAGCTTTGAATGAAGTCACTGTTGAACTGCAGGAGAGAGTTCATCGTTGGAAACAGATCGAATTACTCTGCGGGTTCAATATTATTAATAATAATGGATTGAATTATTTGGAGACTATTTTATATCGAGGAGCGCCTAATGGACGAAGTTTAGGATTCAGAGGTAATCATTAATTTGCAATTGACACAGCAAAAGAATTTCTGAAACAAAATGGTTCTTCTGTTTGTATTAATGAATTTTTTTGCTCCGCAGGGCGAATGAGTAGTAGTCAAGACGACTTGGACGACGAGGCAAGTTCCCTGTATGCAGCATCAACCTCTGGCGCAGCAGGTAAGCCGGAAATGGATCTCCATGAGTTCTCCGATTGACTGACTCTGATCGTTTTTTTTTTTTTTTTCGCGAATTATGTAAATAGCAGTGTCCAGACTTGTTCAATCCTCTCCATTACCTATTTTTTTATGATGGAAATTTGTAAAATTACCAATAATTGGGGCATCACCAGCTTTATGCACAGTCCCGTAGACGGGACTCGTACAATCAATGTTACTTGTTTAATCCACTGAGTTTATTTTGGTTTAAATGGTTTTTATATTTAACTGCAGCACTATTTTATACCTTGACATTAACATACCCACGTTAATTTGTAGGCAAATCACTTGTGATGAAATTCGGTATTATTTTATTTTGGTTTTGCTAGCTCGGGCGGGGATGTTGTTAGTGGGAATTTTTACTTTACTCTCTCCAAAGATTAACAATCGGTTTACTAGTTCGTACTAATGTGTGGTTTAGTTATAGTTATGGTGCTGTGGTGAAAAATTCCATATTCGATGTTTTTATATATTTTTAAAAATGAGTAAAATCGAATTAGTCAATCGATTCTATTTTTTAGTCGATGATTATTTCTTCCTCAAGTAAAAATTCGAAGAAAATGAGGAGAAAAATATGAAAGACGAGAGAGATTATCATCCTCTCCAATTAGATTGAATAGGGAATATTAGCAGCAATTACACCAATGACAATTATTATTTCTGATTACGTTCCCACGGGATTTTTTTTCCAATTATTTACATCATCTCTGGGATACTTAACTCATAAGTGTTATTTCACTCACACAAGAATAAAAAATGAATCTCCATTCTTTTTGACAAATTGCTCTCAAAACCTCGGTCCTGCGAGGAGCTCATGACGACGTTTACTTAAAAATATATTCAATTGCTCGTCTTCCAGTGCCAAGGAAGAATCTGAGTCTGGTTTCTTAACCTCACACAATTGAACCTTCGATTTCTATTTAAGTAATAACAATGTATTCATCAGGGACATTATTATTGTAATAAGGAGAGGCTAGTTGCACTGGAAGGTCAATATAAATAATGACGACAACCAAAAAAAAAAAAAAAAACACCGGTAGATAGATAATTGTTGATTATCCATTACTCTGCGAAAGATACACGTAGTAAAAAGTGCCTCAAGTCTCAAACAATAATCTCCGCAATAAAATGGGAGAGTTAGAGATATAAAAAACTATACTCCATTTTTTTTTTAAATTTTACACTGTACAAATATTATTTGTAAACAAACTTGTAACGACCAGAGATCATCGTGAACAATGATTCCTTATCTATTAACTTATCGAACTTAATGTAATAATCACAATGTTAAATAACGCATAAACAATTCCGAATAAAGCAGAATGTCACGTGGAATTGACCAAGTCAATTTCCAAAAAACAAAGTACAAACTGCGAATAAATAAATTCTAGTTGCTTTAATTGCATGAGTAACAGTGAATCCTAGCCCTGCACGTAGCCCAAAAAAAAAAATTAAAGTATAAAGACATTTTTATGACTTGAATGGACTCAAAAATAAATGTATTTTAACATTTTTCCTATGTTTTGTTTTACTGAGATCAAACACATCCTGCAATATCCAGAGAAAACTTTTGTTCCAGGTGGTCTGGAGAGTTTAGCGTGGAAGGAGTCATCAGCCCCTCCAGACTCGTCTAGCAGTGAAACGGGCAAGGATACACCCCCAGAGGTGCAATTTACTGTTGGTGATGAGGATGCTGTGCCACCGATACCCCCGCGGCCACTGACTAAAGAGAAAACGAGTATGACGAGATCATTTAGTCAGGAGGCGACGAGCATGACGTACGACGAGGTGAAGAGTTCCCTAGGTCTTTCAAAAACATCTTTATCAGATAATTCTCTGGACTTGTCCGAGAGAAAGACGAGGAAACCCCTCAAGGAGATGCCAACGGTTGACGATGAGACATTGTCAACAGACTCTAATTCGACAGCTGACAATGATGAGCTCAAGAGACGTCGTAGAAAGTTACATTTTCCAGGTTTCAGGAAGAACAAGGGCAAGCTCACGTGATGGTTCGTTCGTTCGAGGGCTTCATTTGCACTTAATCGATCACAGGGCAACAGAGTGCCTTGACGAAAGCTCAAATGGACCCTAAGTATTAATTGTATTAAATGAATCATTGTGATAAAAACTTTTTGATGGTTTTTTGTCAGGTTTTTTTTTTTTGGTTTTTTTTTTTTTTTTCAAATGTCGTTGTCTCTCTGCTTGAGCTTTTCTCGATGCCTTGTACTCTGGTTCGAAGAACAAACTATTATAAACTTATTGAAATTGTATATTGAATTGAGGACAATATCGATGCGGGTTTTCTAGTGATATTTTAGAGTTCCGTCGGGGAAATTATTTTCCCTTTTTAAGTGATGATTATTGATGGTGGAGATTCATTAATGTTCTTCCAACCTCGATGAGGATGACTAATTAATTATGGAATCGCTTCTAAATTATATTCATGACATGATTATTTATTATAAGAGATGATATAAAAATTTATTGAAATCGCTCATGAATTATCAGAGTACGGATGAGAGCGATCAGTATTCGGGGATGAACGAGTGAACTGTTGACACCGCTGGGCCTTTAATTAAATAATCAAACGAGGATGAGTAATCTCGAGAGCTGCTCCATAACTGAGCGTAAAAGTGATGAATAGCACGGTAATGTCAGTTAACGTCAATAAAATAAATTACGAACGACGAATAACGATATTTTTCATAAAAAAGTTTCTACAAAATAACAAAAAAAGAAATTATACGGAATGATCAATTCGCAGGTGAAATTTCTAGGTGGAAAGAATACTGTTAATATGTATATTGTTATCACGGCTAGAGTTTATTATTTATGCACGAGAAATAATCAAGGGCCAAACGGAATTCTCGGGGAGAGCTATCAAGTGGAAAAGTTTGCTAGAATATTGCGACAAGTGCTTAATCCACAATGTTTTTTTCCTGAAAATCCTGTATCACCTTTTCTGTAGCGAAGTGATTGAATATTTTTATTAATTATCGATTTGCGGTGAAAATATTGAAGGACTTTTTGTTGATTGAATTTCGGATGAAAAAAAAAAATATATTTTGATATTTCCTGGAAAAAAAATTAATAGGTCTCCAGATAAGTCGATAATTGAATTTTCAAAGAATTTTTATTTTTTCCGGTCCTTCTCATATAATCACTGGGCCACTGATTTCACTGCTTTTATCGTTCCCATTGTCATAATTTATCATGAATTCTTCCCACGAGCTTCATGCCACCAAAATCAATGGCCAATATCATTAATCCTCAGTTAATGATCGATTAACCGATGGGCTCAAAGTGTACTTCCTTTACGTAATCAACCTAAGAGAATCTAGGTAGAGTATAGTTTAATTGCGCACAATGAGGGCACTTTAGTTTATTATTCCAAGTAGCAATGGTTTAATCTTCACTACTTTTGTTGCCCACGTATTTTACTCTCCAATTAATCTTAAGGCAAATGAAAAATAAATAAAATGGTCGTTAAATAATATTGATTCACGGGGAAATCAGATGAATAGGATTTTAGGTGACCAGGAAAGTTTCAATTAAACTCAGGTTTACGTGTTCTATCATTGTGCGTAGAGTTTTGAGTTATCGAGGAGATGAAAATTGTTTAAATAGTAATGTAGTGGATATCGTATCGGGAGGCAGAGAGCTTGGTGCAATATTGGAAATCTGTTATTCACGAATTTATTGAATGAAGAATATACGAAAAAAGGTAAAGGAGGAATTGGTGTAATCATTTGTTTATGTCGATTGCTAAGTAGTTTATCTAAATTTTGGGGATAGCGTCTTCCTCTGTGTAATGCCAGGAGTATGTTTTTTTCCAACAGAAATAAATCAATTTTGAGATCAATACCGTGTCTTCTTAAACCTTTGAGTTTTGTAATATTATCTGTGGGGAGTAAATATATTCGCAATTAATAATTGGTGGAGCAAAAAATGCCGTTAAAAAAAAATTCACTTTCGATTTGAAAAAAAAAAAAAAAAAATTTAATACCCGTCAGTTTCGTAAGGACAAGATCAGTAATGACATCATAATGTCAGACAGTTTTGGATGGCTTTTATTTCCATTTACGAATACGAGCGGTTTTATTACCACACTTTATCATACAGTAGACTAGTGTATCAGCTTCCGTTAATATTCAAAAATTGAGAGAGCATAAATAATCAGTTCTTATTGTCAATAATATGCAATGTACCGCACAACGTAATTCGAATAAAAAAATCGTGTAGTGGCTGTATTTGACTCACGTCGCAGTGTTTATTTGACAATTTCGGTATTTTTGAGTGAGTTGATGACAACACGATGGAGAAGGAACATCAGTTTTTTATTTGGGGTCGGTGATTAATCGCTTTTTGTGTTTTCTGTCATTTGTGGTTTGGCGGTGGCGCGAGTGAAATAGATTCGCATCGCGGTATGTGTTGGACAATGACAAGCTCCTCTCCCAAAACTCAAATACCGTAATAAACAGTACAATTGTCAATGTACGCCGTCCGATTCCTCTTCAAGTTCGAAATTTCGGCGTGATTAAGTGTCGTTTATTGAGTTTATTCAGTGCATTGTGGGTGAGGTTATATCGAAATTGATTTTTCGTGTCGATCACAGCCTTTTGTAACTGCCAATTAGTAATATGAAGGTAAATTTCACCAACTTTTCAATTGAACTGAATCGTTCATATATATCGATATATTTGATGTTCCTCCTCAGAATTCTCATCCTCTCGGTAGAATGTCATGGACAATTTATTATAATCCATAAATGAAAAATTGACAAGCCTCATTTCTTCGAGCATTGACCCCTTCCATAACATTTACATGTAAAAAAGTAAACATCGGATATAAATAGCATAAATATTGCACTCTATTCGATAAAAAAATCTCTCTCCAATAGTGAGCTTTGATCCTGCAATTTGTACGTTTCCGGTTCTGTTCTGTCCATCAATAAAATTCCAGTGCTAGCGTCGACAGTCTACCTAGCTAATTAATGATTCAATTATCTTTTAAAAATTTTCTCTGAGGTTCAATGGTAGATTCAGCAGCAATAGATAAAATTGTAAATATATTTTTCGTTTGAAATCTTCAACGTCATTCTCTAATCTCATAATTTTTCAAATTTCCTCTGGTTTTTGCGAATCACATGGACTCCATGGATTGTGGACAGTTAACGTGTAATTGTCCTGAAGCCCCACTGCCAATGAAAAAATCTCACTCTTCCATTCTCGCGTCATAAAAAAAATCAATCTCTTCTGTCCTAAACTCTCACTTCGTTGTGAACATTCCACATTTAGAATGAGTATATTCCAGCTAAAATACATTTCATCAATAAGTTTATCGTAGTCATTAATTTCCGTAATATTTAACATGAATAATCTCTGGTTCACTGGGCATTCGTGAGCGGTACAATATATCACACTGACTTCCTCCCTCAAAAAAGAAAATTAAAAAAAAAATGGAAACAGTCATAATTTAGAACTTTACATTGGCTCTGGGTTAGTATCAGGTCATCTCCTCCCCCGATAAATTCAAGCTCTGGTAATTCAACATATTGACGGAAAAAGAAAAAAAATACGAAACCCAAAAGAAAAAAAATTGCACACTGAGTAAAATTACCCCACAATCATAGACCAGATACTTTGGAATGCGCCACAACTTGCTTTTCCATATCTCTCTTAATCTAAAAAAAAAAAAAAACTCTTCAGTCTTATGATTCAAAAAATACTAGCAATTTGTGTCTAACCCTCTCTCGTCGAGGGCATCGTCCCCATTACCCTATTTCTCTATTTAAATTGCTGCCACTGGACCCCCACTTCCGGGAAATCTATCGACAAGAGAGGATTAATGTCACCCCCAAGCCCAGGAGTTGGCAGGAGTTTTCACGCCCCCCCCCCCCCCCCAGGATCCGATTGGCTAAAAATCCCCCTGAATTTACTCCTTATCAGCATTGCTCTCCTCCTCCTGCTGCTCACTCATCTCAGCAGCAGAAGGAATAGTAGCCAAAAGTCTGACAGCAAGTCTGCTAGGACTGCCAGGAGGTTCAGGCTCCTGAATGGCAAATTGCCTGATCAACCTGGGTTTGGATCTGGGTGTAGTTCTTGTATTGAACTCGAGTGATGCACTAGACCTGGAGACTCTCCAGGTGCTGGTGCTGGCAGTGGTACCAGATCCAGAGGAGTCATTCCTAGAAGAGCTCAAATTAGAGTCCTGAGATGTTTTCCTGGTGACGAGCCAGGAGGATGCTCTTCTCGTTGGATCGAGTATTCTGAGTGGTATACCACAGTGATGTGCCTGCCTCCAAGAATCAGATCTCGATGACGAGTAATTCTCACTGGACGACATGGATGAAGCCCTCTTGCTCTGCTTCTGCTGTACCTCTGCAATCTGATAAGCATACCGATCACTTCTGTAGTGTCTCCCCTGCCTCCTGCAGCTCCACAACAAGGTATCACCCCACCACTTATCCCCGCTGTGATTTACCTCTAATAATCGAGTGCTGCACGCGCACTGGGGCTGATTTTCCCTGGAGGATCGATCAACGATACTATTGGTGTTGGCTGGTGTCGGGCGATTGGAGAAATTTGATGAGTGCCGACACCTGCCAATGCCACGGGTCACCCTCGACTCCTCGAGGGCTTTGCAAATTAAAACGCAATCCTTCTTGAACTGCTTCGTTAGGATGGCATAGAGAAATGGATTGCAACACGAGTTCAGGGGTAAAATGAAAACAGCGAAGACCTTTGCCTGCTCCAGGGTCACCAATTGAAGACCAAATGTCGCTGTTAGGGAGAAAAATGCTATTGGCGACCAGCACAGAAAGTCTGTGAAGACAAGAAGAGCCATGCGTTTTGCTATTCTAGAGTCGTTGGAATTCCATGCCTGCGAGCCTCGGATGGCGCAGTACATCTTCAAGTAGCATCCCATCAGAATGAGAAAAGCAACTCCATTAATGAGCATGAGGAACACAACGTATGCTAGAGAGGCTACACCGTTTGTCTCGAAGGGCAGGCATATTGCAAATTTTCGGTAATCCGATATACCGAAGAGCGGGAGAGTTGCCATGGAGAAGGCGAATCCCCAGCCGACAATCATTATGTATGTTGCGTGTTTCAAGGAGAGACGCTTGTTCAGGTGCATTGCGTGAGTTATTGCGTAGTTGCGCTCGAGAGTTATGACAGCTAGGGTGTAGACACTCAATTCTGAACTGAGGACACCCAGAAAACCCGCGATTTGACAGCCCACGGACATCTGCCACGGTATCGCATATCTACGAAATTCACCAAGAGTCGAGGCGTCGACCACTGCGAGAAAACCTGAAGCAAATTAATTCACATTTTCATCTGCACAGAGAGGAAATATTTCTGGTTGTTCGAAAACAACTTTTTCAAAAAGTCCATCCAAGACAATTCATTATTGGATGAATAAATTTAATACAGCGTTACAGCGTTAAGAAGGTTTCGATAATTTTTACCCTCGTTGAATTACTTGAAAACTAAGTTGATCCTTCCTCCAACAACTTACCGAGATAAATTCCCATGAAAAAATCAGCAGCGGCAAGATTGCAGACGAGAAACCTAGGAACATCGAGTTTACTCCTGGAGAAGACAATGACAAAAACAACAGTGCCGTTACCCAGCATTGCCATGAGAAATACCACCCATACTCCACATCTCAGAGTCCACCAATCAAACAGGTCCTGGCAGGGTAGGAATGGGCCTGGAGATAAAATGAATTTATTGCCAGTGTGATAAATGATATGGGGGAGGTTGGATGGAGGATGGAGTCAGAGAGGGTTAACACACCGGGCTGGGGGAGACACTGCACGTGAACTGGAAGACTCGGTCCTGAAGGTGCGCTCACCCTTCCCTCCTGGTCCTCAAAATAATCCTCCACGTAGGCTGGCAGATTACCGGGATACGCAAAGTCTCCACCATAATTATCCCAGAGATTCTTCACCTCTGACCCCAATTTAGAGCTGTTATCTGCGAACCAGTTAAATTAATTCAATTAGATATTTTATAAATTTCATTGAGATATCCGATGAAAACTGATGTGTAGTCCAAGTCAAAGTGGAAATAACATACGTAGCAGGGGCCAGATGTCTGTCGCATTAGAATTCCAGAGACCCAATTCCAGGTCGTTGTCATCAGGAAACACAACGGACTCTTCAACAGACGATTTAGTCACCTCTTCGTCAATTTCATTCGACAGGAACGAACAGCAGTGGTAGGCGTAGGACAGGACCATTGTTTGTACTCTTGGAAAATTTTCGGGCTTGGGGAATTCCCTCAGGGCTGGATTATTAAATGTCTTGAGGTGGAGAACACTAACTAGACCCGTTGTGGGTAGTGTTGGGAAGACATTATTCCCCAGATTCAAATCCTCCAGCTGTTTGATGGGAAGAAATGTGTCTGGATGGATGAACTCGATCAAGTTGTCTTCCAGGTCTCTGCAAAAAATCGAATCTTTGAATTCTGCGGTTGGCAAGACTTGCTAACGCAAGTGGCGATCTTTAACTTACAGGAGTTGGAGACGGCTTAGACCCGTGAACGCGTCCTCGGCTAGGGTTTTGATCTTGTTGTGAGAGAGGAGGAGGTCGTGTAGGGAATGGAGGCTCCAGAAGGGCTGATGAGAGATGGAGGTGATGATGTTGCTCGCTAAATTCCTGATTAAATGACAAAGATACTGCAGTCCTCATTCGAATAATCAAAAAATTGAATTTCAATTTGATTTTTTTATTCGTTTTTTGCCAAGGATTTTTTCTTGAAAATTGATTAGATCCAGTCATTTAGTAATTTGATTGTATAATCAATTATTTTATCAATACTCACAAAACCCGTAAATCAGTGCAGTCAGTTAAATTGGGAATACTCGTCAGGTGATTTGACTTCAAATCCCTAAATTTGGAGGATTTAAATTTAATATTGGCCCGTTGATCGAATTGAGTTTATTTAAAATGGTGATTTATGATGCTTACAAACTCTTGAGTTTCGGGCATTGTTTGCATATCACCTCGGGGACTGTTTGGAGAGATGCACGATCCAGCCGCAAAACTTCGAGTGCGGACGTTCCATTGAGATTGGGAAAGTCAACGAGACCGCGTACATTCGAAATTATTCTGAAAACATTGATTTTGGAGATGACCCCTTTGATCTGATGTATTTACGAGATATGTCAGTACAAAATGGATTATTATTCACAATTTACGGAGTCGTGAATGGTTTTTGAATGTATCCTCGTGAATCTCTTTGATGGGATTGCCACGTAGATCGAGGGACATGAGATTCTTGTTACTTCTGAATGCATTGGCCCCAATCGTCTCGATTCTGTTGTTCGATATCGACCTGAAAGTTTAGAAGTTATGGTGTAGTTATTTGTGTTCTGGTGGATGGCCTGGGGATTTACTCACAAGTCCTCGAGTTTTTCGATGAATACCGTAGCCTCCGGTATTTCTCTGAGATAATTATCGTCCAACTCCCTGCATTAATCCAGAAATGGAAATATTTTTACATTTGTTTGATAAAGAAAATTATTACTATCAACTCACAAAACTCGTAGATTCGATAAATTCCTAAAAGCACTACGGTCAATGCTGTCCATGTGTGTTCTCCGGAAAAAACTAGAAACGTTCATAGTGGCCATGAGACTAATACAATCGAGAGATGAATCAATGGATTAATTGAAAAAGCCATTAAATTGATCGACTTAGAATCGATTTTCAATTGAATTTTATTCAGCTCGTTTCACCCTTTCGCCATTAAATTACAGAATCACAACGCTTTTTCGCTCAGAAAAATACAACACTTACATAATCTCAATATTCGGTACATGTTGAAAAGCCTTAGGTGGAATGTGGGTAATGTTATTGCTGCTAACATCTCTGAAAAAAAAAACCAAACATGCAAAAATTACAAATTAACTTACACATCCAAAATATTCAGTTAATTGAGATGCACTCGAGTTCTCTTATCTAACAGAAAACAAGATGTACCTCAAAGAGAGTGAGCCGACTATTCTTGCCTTGAGGCCGGTGGCCCGTTAAATATTTATGAATTCCCCCGGGGGCATCGTCTACGCCGGGAATAATTAATTGCGGTTTAGATACAAATCGTCTTGTGGTCTCATCACACTTGTTGGAAAAATATGCATATGAAAAAAATTTTCTTCTATTCCGTCAAGTGAGTACCTATTCCCATAATCATCCACGGATTTGTTCGATTTTATATTTATTAATTTTTCGTGTTGATTTTTGCCTTCCTTCCTTTTTATCACCAATGCTAATCCATTAGAGATGGTAATTTTATGGAGTCAGCTGTCGAATATCGCGCGGTTATCTTCTCTGATAATTCCTAAACTTCTTCACTATTCAGGAATGAGAACAATTGTTGAATAAAGGGAGACGAAAGACGAGGGAGGTGTACAATCTCTCCAAATTACAAGAGTTTTCCTATGGGTGCACGGAATTAGATAAAATTTTTCCAATATTTTTCAAATATTTCACCCAATGGTGAGATAAAAATTTTTCTCATTTGTCTTGAGTAAAAAAGGAAAAGTTTGGGACAACGAAATTCTTACTACATTTTTTTTTTTCCTCTGATGGAAAGAATGAATCATTCATTCACTTTCTAATTTTCTTTTATTTGGCCGTGTCATCAACAATAACAATTTTGATAAGGTTTTGGCGCTATTGAAGGGACCATCTATCTTTTGCGAATCGAAAGTCAGAGATGAGTGGAATTTTTCTGGGTGAAAGGATTTTTATGCTGGGGTTCGCTCAGGGGATTTACCGACCCCTGGGGCTTTATAGCGTTTAGAATGGGTTGGTTTAGGTGACTGACAGGATATCACGGCTTCCAAGGATGACAGAGAATCATACCCCGGAAAGCTATTTCCAACACATAACACAGAAAAGTAAATTTTTCACGCAGCATAATTAGGCCGATGTGTTTTCTTCTCTTGTGTTAATTTATTTAATTGAATAATTGAATTAAGCACTTGAATTTCTTCTCGTTATTGGTCTAGTTTCTGGAAAAGGTACCGGGACATGACGGGGCGCGTATTTCTCTATAACGAGAAAAGAGAGGAAACGTATGAGCAGATAAGTCTCGCCTCGGGTTTCTGTGTATCGCATGTCGCAATGACAGAGTAAAAATAACATTAAAAAAAGAAACAATTTCTTCTGAGTGAGCGTGTCATGAATGATAATGCGGCGAGGTTAACGAGCCGTTGCACGTGAAATTTACCCGCTGACGTCTCCATTAGAATGTGTCTGTGCGAATTTTATTGTGAAAGCTTCAGAACAATAATTCACCATTTTGTGATTAATTAACTGAGAGGAATAATTCCAATTGCCCGACCACTCTATTCAGTCCACATTTATCAGTAATTATTAATTATTTGTCTATTGTGAATAGAATTACGTGAAATATTGGGTTATTTTTCATAAAGATTTGTCTCTGGGTATGAAGGAGACAAATCGACGCGTATTATTTACCAGGACTAATCAACTCGCACTGACATTTTTATCCTGTCCCGAGTCACCGAGTCTTTAAACCTCATAAAAACAGAATTAAAAGTTGGGGGAAAAATTCACTCGGGCGCGAGGTGTTGTTGGGATAAGTTGTGAAGTTGTTGATTTTGTTGCGAAGAGTTTCTTATAAATAGATATTTTTGTGGTGCACAGCGTGTGACATCCAACCGAGTAAACTTCTCACAAACTTTTTCATTCCAAGTTAATTCAGGAGCGAAATAGTGAAACTGGATAAGTCGATTTAACTGGCCAGCACATTTTATTTTAATTCTTGCCAAAACTTAATTTCCGATCGACCAAAATCACTTGTGCCATTATCTTCCATTATCGCACAAATAATAAATAAATAATTCATAAATATAATCAGTACTGAGAAGGTGGAATTTAATTGGGAAAAGGGTTCATTAGAAATCCTTATAATTCGCGGGGATCGGCGAAATCCCCGAGAAATTCCTCTCGAAAAATTCGATTACTGTCAAGTGTACAATAAAATTAGGGGTGATATGCACGTGATTAACTCATCCCCGTAGCTTAGTGGGGAAAAAGAGGGAAAGAGTAGCACGTAGAGATGAGGAGGAAAAAAAGAACAAGTGGTGAGACTGATGGGATCCCACGGTGTCACGATTAATCGATATTCTCGATGGTGGAGGGTGTCCTCCCATGTGATTCATAACTCTTATCCTCGTCTCTTCATTGGAAATAAGACAGGGATAAAAGATTACTTGAAACCGCTTGGGAATTAACAAAACAGATTTTCCAAAATGTTTGATGAGAGAGATCTGTTAAATTCTGGCAATCGTCCCGCATTTTCACGGTTTATTCATTCCAATCTCGCCGTTTCTTTATTCTCCCTGGATTTTTCAATTTCTTAGCTTGTGGACTTTGCAACTTTGAAAATTTATTAATGGAAATTTATTCTTGTGGAAGAAAATTTCCTCCATCCTCATTCTTCCTGGGGACAAATTTTCAATTGCTTTCCCTTTCCCTTCGTATTAGTGAATATTTTTTGGAGCTCTCTTTATCCTCGCTCTGTTAAAAACAATCCATAACTTTTAGCGCTAGGAGAAGGAACAATATCCTCAATTAATTTGCCCCGGAGAATTGGAATGAATTCAGAGGGAAAATTAAATTGAAATGCTTTTTGAATTTGAATTTGAAATTCAAGTTCGAATTTCAAGTGAATTTCAAAATTCTCGACAAATGATTCGATAAAAGTTTGTTGACATTCTTCAGAGGTTTCCATTGAAAAGCATTTGCTCCAGTTTTTATTATTCTCCTCAGCCGTTAAATTCTGTATTCACCCTCGGAAGAACCGAGTCGATCCCCCCCTCTAAATCGAAAGAATGAAGAATCGCGTTATAAATGAGGGCAAATAGCAATTCAAATACCAAACACTCTGGATGTTGAGTAATTAATCATCAGGTTTGGGGGTTTGTCCTCGCATACTGTCTCGCACTGATTGAATTACAAAGTGTCTCATTGACGGATTTGTCCTGTCTCAGACATCAAAATCACAAGGTCTCACGCCCAATTATTCCCATCACGTAATCTCATTGTCTTTCTGCAATTCTTTCAATTCGGCCTGGATTATTTGCAAATCAAGTATTAATTCGCACGCGGTTAAATTTCATTAAGAACTTGACAATATTCATTACACAATTATATTTTATTACCCATTACTTTTCAATTTTTTCATTCCGCTCTTATTATTTATTTGTAAAATATATTTTATAAATTTCTATAAACGGCAGGAGAATGGGCAAAAAAAAATGGAAACAAATGGACAAAAAAATATCCAGTAGAATGCTGTAGCACATTTGTTGTTTTTTTTTTAATGACATTTTTGTAATACGTGTTGAGCACACCAATTGCCCTCATACAACCATATGTACTATCTGGATGTTTGTTTTGCTTACTCCGGGAGATTCTAGATCTCACGGGGTTGGCCACCAGAAAATCCACCTATTAACTTTATAACTCGCGAGGAAAACCCAAGCCCCACGATTTATTCCACTGAAACTCGAGTGTAAACTATGTGGAGTACACCTCCACGACATTTTTACCACTCACATGAAACGAATGGGGCCTGTGGGTAGAACAGTGGCAATTGTCATGAGAATAATAAAGAATAACAATTCGTGCGGGCAAAACATTTCTTTCAAATTAAGAATTCAACAATTTTTCAACTTTTTCCAAGTTTTCAGAGAAGGATTTTTCAATAACAATATCAGAATTTCGCCAAGTGCACTCATCAGTCATGCTTTCAGTGGTATGAGGGTTGAATTACTTCAGTGAGAAGTAATTGTTGGCAAGTATTAATCATGTGAAAATAAAGGAAACTCATTAGGTAGATCGGTGAGATGCATTTCCGTGGTGTTTTTATGGCCACTTATGAAATTATTCCGTGAAATAAGTGGGGAAAAGTGGATTTCGTGGAAAAGTCGAGAAAATATCGCCCCTACTGACCAAATTTATTAACAAACTTGGGAAGAAAGATGGCGGAGCGGTGTAAATTTTGAAAAATACTCAAGTCAAGTCATTCAAGTCTCTCGAACGGTGAGAAGTCCAGTGAGAGTCCAATAAAAATGATCCGTGAAAACACGTAAAATTTTTTCAACATGATGAGATTTTCGCTCTAGATTTTTCTCAAATATTTTTATAGAAATTTATCTAAAATCAAAAACTTGTGTGGGAATGCAGTTATAGGTATACGCGCTTCTAGCCGGAAGACACACTCGTGGCAAATCACGTTTGCACTGACATTCCAGAGTGCAAAATGTAGTTGAGAAAATGTCGACCAGACATTTCCACAGGCATTTTCCACATCTCCATGTCGGGACGAATAAATTCCACTTTTGGTATTTTTTACCACTCGAGTGGAGAATTTCATTTCGCGTGCTCTTCCACGATCGCCTTTTTACCGCCATTTATTTGTACAGTCACGTGAATTTTATTGATTTTTAGAATATTTTCATATTTACTTGGGGTTTATCGGTGTGATCTAGGAGTTGTCGGATTTTTGAGAGGGAGAAACTTGGCTTTATTGGAGATTTTCACGAATACCAGATTTATATCGCGAGTGAAGATGTCAAGAGGTTTCCCAAGTGCTCTCATTTCAATTTTTACGTGAAATTTACGGTTGAATTCTCCAGAACAGTTTTATGGCATTGACCCACGTGAAAATTGAAATTTTCTCAAAAAATGGCCCAGTAAGACTATCGAATTATTAATCACGTCATCATTGAAATTTATCACCTCAACTTTATTTTCCCTTTAAATAAACGAATGATAAAAATTTCAAGTGTCGTGATAAATGATCGGTCTGCCAACTTTACGCAATAATCACTTGA